GTCTGTATAATTGATTATTACCCTAGATGAAATCACTGTTAACATTTATCAATGAAAGGAAAATTTTATATATTACTGTATTAGTCAGGGTTCTCCAGAGAAACAGAACCAGTAAGATATACATATATCTATATATCTATATATCTATATATCTATATATATGAGGCGATTTAGTATATGGCCTGACTCATGTGGTTATGGAGGCTGAGAAGTCCCATGATCTGCTGATCTGCCATCTGTAAGCTAGATAATAGGGAAGCAGGTGGTGTAAATAAGTCTGAACTTAATAAATAGTATCTATGTTCACCCAGTTGGTCTGACCAGAAACCTGAGTTGTTACTTTTTGACAATTCTTTTTTTTTTTTCATTTCCCAACTCCAATCCATCATCAAATGTTGTGCCTCCTAAAATATTCTTGGATACTTCTTTCCATCTTTACTACCTTTTTTCTTGTCCAAACCAGGGGGCCCTGCCTTGAGTAGGACAATAACCTTTTAACTAGCCTCGCCTCATCCACTTTTGCCATTTCCAACCCATTCTCCTCATAGTATCTGGGGTATGTAACTCCCCTACAAAACTTTTCATTGCCCTCAGAAAAAGTTCACAAGTTTTATCATTGCTCAAAAGGCCCTCTGTGATCTGGCACCTGCTGGTCCCTCCAGCTACCATCTCTGGTCACAGCCCTTGTCTTTCAGTTCCTTGAATTCACCAAGCTCATTCTTATATGTTTTCTTGGCCTAGAGAAACATCTTTCCTCAGTCCTCATCTGATAATTCCTATTTATCCTTCAGATATCAGCTTTATTCCTTCATTTAATAAATAGTTATTAGGTACCTACCTAAGAAACGATTTTTTTTTTGTTATAGCACAACTTATATATTTCAAATGGACAAAAAATTAGTATCGTTTACAGTATCTTAAGATAAATTGCCTTTGAATGGGAGCTTCCTTTCCAGTACTTTGAGGTCTACAAGACGTATCTAGAAAATGTACTACTGTGGAAAATGACTGCTTAAATCGAATGGGGGGGAGGGGGGAGGGCCTGTGGTTTCTCTTTTTGATTAATTGCTGTAACACTGTCCTTCAGGCGGCTGAGGGAGTTTCATGTTTTCTTTAGACATCATTAGGCGCCGGAGCTCTTGCAGGACAACTTTGATGCTATATGAATTCTGCCATTTTGCTAGCACTGATATCGCTCTTGGGTCCACCACTCCATTAGAACTATTAACTCCATTCATATTAATTTTTGTTACAAATCTTACAAAGGGGGGTGCTTCTGGGTATTTAGGTCCACATTCTATTTTAAGGCTGTATATTCGGTTTTCATAAATTGTTCTTGGAGGCCCAATTATCATCCCTGTCCATCTTGTAAGTGTCATGTCTTCGTCATCTTCTAGACCCCAGCTAACTGTGCCATCTCCTACTCCTTTCTGGCCTTCTTCCAGTTCTTCCAACAGTCGAAAATTGCGAGGGACTTTCACTCCCGAGCCTGTGGTGGCTGCCATCTTGCGTCGCTGTCGCTGGAAGACCGGCCCCTTCTTCCTGCCTATTCTCTTTTAAGAGTTTTATGGATGCAGGTCTTACATTTACATCTTTAATCCATTTTGAATTTATTTTTGTTTATGGTGTAAGAAAGTGGCCCAATTTTATTCCTTTGCATGTAGCTGTCCAGTTTTCCCAACACCATTTATTGAAGAGACTGTCTTTTCCCCATTGTACACTCTTGCCTCTTTCAATGTAAATTAATTGACCTTATAAGCATGGATTTATTTCTGGGATTGCCATTCTGTTCTATTTATCTATGTGTCTGTTTTTATGCCAGTGCTATACTGCTTTGATTACTATGACTTGGTAGTATATCTTAAAATCTGGGATTGTGATACCTCAAACTTTGTTCTTTCTCAAGATTGCTTTGGCCATTTGAGTCTTCCATACAAATTTCGGGATTATTCTAGTTTTGTGAAAAATGCTATTAGTATTTTGATAGGGATTTCATTGAATCTAGAGACTTCGTTGGGTAGTACGGACATTTTAATGATATTGTTCAAATCCATGAGCATGGTGTATTTTTTCATTTGTTTATGTCATCTTCAGAATGTAAGTCTTTCACCTCTTTGGTTAAATTTATTCCTAGGTATTCTGTTCCTTTGGTGCAATTGTAAATGGAATTGTTTTCTTGATTTCTCTTTTTGTTACTTCATTATTAGTATATAGATATGTAACAGATTTCTGCATATTAATTTTGTATTCTGTAACTTTACTGCAATCATTTATCAGTTCTAATAGTTTTTTGGTGGAGTCCTTAGGTTTTTCCATATATAGTATCATGTCAGCTGCAAAAAAAGTGATAGTTTTACTTCTTCCTCACCAATTTGGGTGTCTTTTCTTTCTTTTTCTTATCCAGTTGTGAAGCCAGGTCTTCCAGTGCTGTATTGAATAAAAGTGGTGAGAATAGACATTCTCATCTTGTTCCTGATCATAAGGGAAAAGCTTTTATTTTTTCCCCACTGAGAATGCTGTTAGCTGTGGGTTTTTCATATATGGCCTTTATTATGTTGTATTTTGTCAAATGCTTTTTCTCTATCTATTGAGATGACTACATGGTTTTTATCCTTCCCCCTGTTAATGAGATGTATCAATTGATTGATTTGCAAATATTAAACACTTCCTTGGATCTCTGGAATAAACCCCACTTGATTTTGGTGATTTTTAAAAAAGATTTATTTATTTATTTATTTGAGACAGAGAGGGAGAGAATCTCAAGCAGACTCTCCACTGAGTGTGGAGCCTGATGTGGGGCTTGATATCATGACCCTGAGATCATGACCTGAGCCAAAACCAAGGGTCCAACATTTAACCGAGTCAACCAGGCACCCCTGATTGTGGTGATTTTCTAATGTATTGTTGAATTCAGTTTGCTAACATTTAGCTGAGGATTTTTACATCCATGTTTGTCAGGGATATTGGCTCATGGTTCTCTCTCTTTTTTTTTTTTTTTTGGAGTTTCTTCATCTGGTTTTAGTATCA